AGGGGTGGGGGGGCTTGTTATATAAATTTGGACTTTAAGGGTGTGATTGCTGGCGCACTCGTTATTTCGGCTGACATTAAAGACAGCTGGTATACCCTTCTACCTTGTACTCTCAATGCTAAGTGACTGGGCGAAAGTGCTTCGCTTTCTGGAGCGGCCATATCGGGGTGTGCACTGAGCCTTGATCGCAAGGCGGCTACACCATAGTTGTGCCTTTTTGGAGGTCCATTCGTACGCGCCGTTCGCCATTCATAAAATCACACTTATTTATAGAGCAGTGAAACACGTGCCTGTTGACAGTGTTATTGGCCGCAGCTTCTATCTCTCATTATCTACAACTTTTAGTTGATGCTTTCATTATAGCACAAGGAGTTACCACGCAGTATGACCATGTTTGGTATCATTACGCATCTCTCTTTACATATTTCTGAAAAAAAAAAAAAATACAACAGCTGGAGCAGGCAGCTGGGTGCTTTAGACAAGTCTGATTTCATCTGTACGTGCATTGGCGTGCAAGAGGTGTTCCGGGGGTCTCTAGTCATCCAAGTCACTGTACAGATACCAAACAAAGCGCATGCAGAAAGTTTTTTGCACGTGCGGCGAGTGCGTGGACTTCCAAAATCGCAACCCCGCCACTAGTGCATATTGCAGATGATGTCAAGCCTTATTATTCGGTATAAAAATACAATTTATTGGTATCACATTCATTGCTAAGAGCTTAAGTGATAGTAACAAGTTGTATCTTTTGGACACAATATCGCGTAAGCCAAAAGTATGCTGGCTAAAGGGACATTGATCACTTTAGTTGCTGAAGCGGTTTTCGTGCTGTCAGTTATCCGAAACGCAAAGCAGAGATTAGCAGCACAGAAAGTTTACGAGCAGTCTCATTACGCCTCGAGATAACACGCGTCAGCGACTGCACCCTTCGAGCAACGCAGCCTTCCCCACCCCTAAAAAAATTAAGCGATGAATGCGATGCCGTGATGTTATATATTTTTTTAACCGTACGCTACTGACCCTGGAAAGTGAGGGGCGTATGTGTAACATGGTGTAGCTGCTTCACAGTGGGCTTTCCGACACCAGAGCCACCAGCGATGGCCCCACTACTGAAAGCTGCGTGTATTAAAACCGATTTGCTGCTGCTCTGACCAGGACGCATGCTTTCATTCATGAGATAATATAAAAAAAAAGCACGTGGAAATTTTGTATTCAGACCCAAGCAATATCGAGTTCGGAAGGGCAGGGTCTTTTGATGGCTTTTACTGCAACAGCAATTACGAAACAGATGTGCTGCAGAAAGGCATTACGAAAAAGTTTTTCTGAAGGAATATCCAGGACTAAGGTATACTAGAGGGAAAGTGTTTATGTTTTCTCATTAGTCACCTGTTCTGTGGACGCGAAGCACAGAAAATTAGAACGCGATGTCCAGAAGTAGACGTGACAGATATTCTGGCAGCAGGCGTGAAGTTATTAGTGAAAGTCCCTTCAATTACGTGCCACGCAACTCCTCAAAGAAGTTATCAGCAGTGTTCCTGGAACGGACGACGCTCGCTGATGAATCGCCACGAGTTTCATGCTACCGATTGGACTAGATGTCGCAAGCCCCTGCAGAGGTCGCGTTTCACCGTTAAGCGGATTTGCACAATAAAAGTTGCGTCGGTACCAAACATAGCATCGTGGATTATTTAGGATGTACGTGAGACCGCTGCTTATTGAGCAGAATATTTCTAGGTATGCGAATGTGACTTTGGTGAGCCCGAGAAAAAGGTGCACATGTATTCACGCGCCGCCGTGGATATCACCAGCAATAGACACTTCCAAATCCGAATTTGGCGCACTTTGGTGCAATTTTCATTGATACAGTCAAACCCCGCAACAATGAAACTGACGAGGTGTGAAAAAAATTTTGTTGAAGCAAAAATTTCATTGTAGTGACATTGAAAAATTATAGCTGATCTAGTCAAATAAACAAACCTTTATTCCCAAAACTTAAGAAGTGTTGAATGCTTTCTATTCTTTCCCAGGAGAATCACGATGCGATTCTCATCCATGCACTGCAACGCCATGGTGAAAAGCACGCTGAACCAATGGCCACAACGGCTTTCATGAATGAACCTAACAGTTGCATTAACATGTTAACACTAGCAGCTGTCCGCCATCAAAGTGTATCCAAGAGCGCAGAGATGGAGGCGGGGTATTGCGCAGCGGTGACTTTTGCCTTGTTTTATGGTATTCTTATCATCCATCACTCGCGGCTGGCTGATTTTGTTGATAATGATTAATGATTATTACTTACCAAACTGGCCAAGCGCAAACAGAATGATAAGCAATGGCATAACAAAAGGCATCATTCTGCAAGTACACCCAGCAGCTGCGTGATGGAAACCATGAACTGAGCAACTGAGCTTCAACTTCGGATCGCCTGCAGCTCAAAAGCAAGCCAGTGGCAAAAGAAGGGCAGTCTCACTGCCATTGCTATTGAGCAATGGTGGCACCCGTGCTTGGTAAATAGAGGCGGTTTCTGGTGGTGCCAACGTGTTTTTTAGACTTTATAGACGTATTTTCAGGTTCTGAAAATACATCAAGATGTTAAAGATTGTGTTTGCTGCCTAGCATTCAATATCTGAGCTTGGAATTGCACCGGCGAATTTCGTTGAAGTAGGACAGACAAAGGAAAAGTGCTCGTTGTGGCGAGAATATTTATACATTGACTCCTATGGACTACTGACGGGGAACCGAGAATTTTCCATTGAAGCGGTGTTCGTTCAAGTGGGGTTCAACTGTATTATCAGGATGGTGCAGTAAATTTGATTTGCTGCACTTTGGCACAGTTGGCGCAAGAGTTGCATCACTGGATAAATGCGTGCACTGGAGAGACCAGGTTCCGTGGAAGTGGCGCTTCGTAGAGGCGACAATCCTTACAGCGTGCCCAACACGCGGCCATCGCACAATCTCACTACTGACAATGATGACGCGCTAACGTTTGGAAGCTCTGAGGACCGGCAAATGGTGTATGGTGTATATAAATGGCTTGCCGTTAGCAATCCCCACAATGTACTCTCCTTGGCATAGTGGTTAGCGCTGCGTGCTGCGAATCGAGAGATTGTTGGTTTGAGTCCGTGCAACAGATTCTTGTCTTCTCGTGTTTTTTTTTCTTTGCAATCTGTTGGTATATATTTTACAATGTCATATCCGCGACGGAAATACGTCAGCGGAGTCATGATGGACCCCGGCATAAATACTTTCGTGTTTTCGTGCGAAAATAGGTATGGAATAATGTAAGTCTGCTAAAGCGTACCACACACGTGTCCCTCTTAACAACTCGCAGGCATAGTTTGGCTCATGCCCATGCATGAGAGACATGCGTCGGACTGCCACAAGATGCGTGAGCACGCACGAGGCACTGTAGACGCCCACACAGCGGCTCGCGGTACTACTTTTGGTAAACTAGGTTATTAGAAGTAGTCTCTGTGGCAATACAATCACCTCAATCTAAATCAGTTTATGAAAGTTAGAAGTAAAATCTGCTTCAGAATTTTATACCGACCAAGCATACGACTGAAGTTATTTGTGTATTTATTCAACAGAAAGGATGCCTTGCGTGAGCTGCTTGAATTTGCAAGCACAAAGCTTACCTGCAGTAGTCAGACCAGGTGAGGTTTGCACTTTAAACCTTTCAAACATATGACTCTACACCATGTCTTCAGTCTCACATCACTATCCCAACAACCTATGTACAGACATAACCTCCTTAGTCTAAACCAATACACAGGCTGGCAAGCAAATTTTGCATTTGCAAGAGAAAGGTACTGCTTGAGCTACAGCGTAATGTGGCTCACAGAAAAATTGAGTTCGCCCTGTGGTCCGATTCACAAAATAGGCACTGCATTTTTCCATCAAGGATAACGGCCGATAACACTGCCATGCCAGAGCAATATCTTTTCAAAAAGGTGGCACTCGTGTCATACTTGAAAACAAGCTTTTATAGCCAAGCAGAAGCTGTCATTGGGTCCTATTAGCACCGACCATACTTCTTCCCGTGTGTTGACTCAAAGAAAAAAAAGAGGACATCAAAGTTAGGTGCGAGCAAAGAGTGTGCCATTCTCACCAATCACCATGTTTTTGTCAGCATGGATGTTAAAAATTGTGATACTATGCTTCATGACTGAATGTGTTAATCACCTACAAGAGGTGACCTCACACACATTCGAACTGCCACCTTCCACACATCTGTGCCACGAAATTTGATTCCTCTGCAAGCACTTTTCATTCACTGAGGAAACTTACTTTGCATCCACAGATGCTGACGCTCCCTCTGCTGCAACGTGTACTGTGCATAATTTTGTGTTTTCTTTTGCTGTCATTAAGGCACATGGTTGCTGAAAAAACTTGAATGCTGGAAGTGCGAGCTATTAAATAAAGTCCAATTGGTCCAGGCAGTGTGTGTAGTTCATGAGTTGCCGACAGTTGAAGTTGGGCACTCAAGACTTGAATTAAAAGGTCTTCATACTTGTGCTTGCTGTTTTTATCTGTTGCAAAGCAGACGTGATTCAGAAGCCAACAGATCAGGGCAGAAGTGCCTCACAAACAAAAAATGATAATAAAAACTAGTTTTTTTTTTGCCAGCTTTTGGCTTGTGCAGTCTCACACATGATGGTCAGCAGGATTTCATCTTGGAGATATGCAAACCTGTGTTTGCATCGTGGCTGGGGGAGGGGAAGAGTGCTGGTGTAGCTTGGGTAAGGGCAAGGGTAAATGTGGCTTGAGGGGAGTAAGTGCCCCTTTTGCACCACCCCTCAAGTAAATATCCTTCAACTTTCCATGATGCTATGCTGTGCAGTGCCACAACAGTTGTGTACATATGGACAGCACACAGGACCTAGAAGTAAACATTGGTCATTGATCCTTGTGTATTAGCTTTCCTCTACCGCAAGTTAGACCTTTTCCCCCAAGGATCTAATTTACCTTAACTTGTCATAACAAAAATATTTTCTGCGTACCTTCAGCATGAGCTCACGGCAGGAAAGCCGGTGGTCTTCACTGGAAAAAATGCGTGCCAGCTCCAGGAATGTCTGAAGTCTATCTGGAGTCACTCGAGCCCACACACTAGACAATCGGTAGATGTCGTTGCTTTGCAGTGCTGCGATGACAGCCTTAAGTGAGGAGAAGTTCTTAAGCAGTCGTAGCTCTTGCGCTACGCCAATCCACTTAGCAAGTAGGCGAACTCTGTTGCCTTCATCCCAGCGTTCCCATAGCAGTGTTGATGTGACACGGCGCGAGACTGCATTGAATTGCTGCACAGTGGCGGTGGCAGTGTTGTGCACCGTGCCTGCCCAGTCCCGGGCACCTCGCTTGCGCCACATGGCAGACAGACAATGGTGCGGCACCAATCGTCGAAAGAGGTCCTGCATTGGGTGACACAAGCCACTTTTTTGTGATTTTCTAATGAAAAAGTTGGCATTAATTCATGGTGACATTACAGAACACTGTAAAAAGATGTCAGACAACTTTATAAAAAGCCAGCATATGAAGGATACACATTAACGTCATACAGTTGTTATTTGCTCTGCTCATTTTATTCTCAGGTATACATTAGCCATACAACTTTTATGACTATGCCAGAACTTTGTCAAATCGCAACTATGCTGCAAGCATTATTATAATACTACAAGTAATCGTAAAATAGTATGTACTGAGTAAGAGAACAATTTCTCTGCAGGTACCCTGATGCTGTTGCTGCAAAAATGCTTCTGGCTGTGGTTATTCTTACGCATCAGCGATAGTTACAAATTCTTTATTTTTGTAATTATGCACACCTGTAAGATCAACTCAGCAATCCTTCCACAAGTTTGTATGAAGATATGTACCTTAAAATTTTAAAGGCTCCCTTATAATTCAACATAGGTTCTTGCAAGTTCCTATTGAAATTGGCACCATCAAGAATGATACTTGTTTGCTTCACCCAATCCTGACCAATATCAAACATGCAGTGATGAATGGACAGACGCTAGCTGTAAAAAATGGTTTAGAAATACTACAAACTCATCTTGCTATATTACCTCATTATTGAGCCACTGCTACTGAGGCTCCCCTCTTCGATGCAAAGAAGCAAGGTCACTGAGCACTCACTGGAAAGTGCATTCTGCAGCAGGCGTGGTCAAGAATTCCAGTGTGACAGACGTATACAAAATGCTTTTTGCCAAACATTTACAGCTTTGGTGATTTCACTCCTCTTAACTTTGCAAGTTGACATTGCAGCCTGTTTCCTTTGGAGAAATACACTTAGTCATGCTATATACCAACTAAATATTTTTGCCAATCTTTGCTGTCCCCAATGACACAACACCCTGTAGTCAAAAAGGTACATACTAGCAGGATTGGAAATATAAATGCGTGTATTCACATACAGACACCTACACACACACACTCAGACAGTGACAGACAGACAGAATGGCCACACGAAATGTCACTCACTATATACAACAAAAATGCTTTAATAAATTTCCAATGAAACCGTGAAAAAACAACAATAAAAAGATATGTGAGTAAAATTAGAAAAGTGCAGCTAAAAAATATTAAGGCAGACATTAAAGACAGCTCTGACTTTAAAAGAAGCTTTCTATCAGTTTATAGCTTAAGGGAGCATGCTACTCGGGGAAAAAAAAAAAATTTGTTTAATCTATAGCCTAGGGCATGAAACTTTTGCTGCTTACACAGGTTGTTATGCTATGTAATCAGTTTAATAGTACGTTAGATAGTTTTTGTTTTGCACCATGACAATGCACAAAATTGGTGCGACAAGAAATCCAAGGCATTGAAGACGGTCTGGCCGAGTGGCGCTGAAATGTACGGGCAAGGACAACCAGTAGAGGTGTTGCAAATGAGGGGAATCGGGCAGCCTAGAAGTTGAACATCTTCGAACTTGGGGCCGTTCGTTCTCTTAGCGTTGTAGATGCTGAAGTTCACTGTCCTACAATTGTGCAGTAGTCATGGCTACGGAATTGACTGGCATTGTTGTGTTGCATTCTTGTGTTGACTACTATCTGCTAAAGTGCGTCAGCAACTGGGCTGTCTTTGCCGCTGATGTGCCGGATATCACTCATGAACTCAGATATATAGGCAAGTTGGGGAATCTCACCAGGAGTGTGGTAGAGTTCGTAGTAGAGTTCGTACTGCCCACGTGAGCAGCTTAAGGTCAGTGAGAATATAAAATTTTCAGCAATCGAGAAAGTGTCGAAAGTGCTTGACAATCAAACAGGCCACAAGTAGCTTGTGACCAAACGTGCTGTAACAGCGCTCGGTGTGTGAGAGCTTCCGTAAGAAAAAAGCGACCCGCTGACAAACTACGTCAACCAACTGCTGCAGGACTGCTTCAATGGCAACGTCCGAGCTGTCTACTGTTAGTGACGCAATGGCGTTGCTCTTTGGATGCGCGAGGAGCATTCCATTGGCTATAGCTTCCTTGATGAAACTGTCTCGGCGTCACCTGTCGGAGGTGGAAGCATCTGGCTTTGATTGACCAGACAGAAGCGCTTGGAGCTATTGCAAGATGGCTGTGCAGTGTGGAATAAACCATCGGTAAAGTTAGCAAAGCCAAGGAATTCACACAATTTCTTTGTAGTAGTTGTTGGTCACGGAAAGTGCAATATATAGCTTCTACATGAGCAGCTGGAAAAAAGATCCCATGGAAATCCACACGATGACCGAGAAGGTCCAGTGAGAAAACTCCGAACTCACTCTCTGGTTCACCCCCCCCCCCCCATTAATGCAAATTTACATTTTCGGAGTCGGGTGAAAACCTTACGCCGGTGAAGTTCACGATCTTCTGCCAAGGTGCTGAAGATCTTCGATGTACGCGAAGCAGCCAGTCAAACCACAAAGAACATGGTCCACAAACCATATTGTGCGGCGTTTCGTAAACCGAAGGGCATACGTATGTATTTAAACATGACAAATGGTGTTACGATGGCAGTCTTTGGTACGTCAGAAGGCTCGACAGATATTTGGTGGTATACCTTTACTAGGTCGATTTTGCTGAATATGGTGTAGTAGTGCAGCAATTCCGTGAAGGTACTGAATGCGTGGTATCAGACAGCAGTTCGCTACCGTGACTGTTGAGGGTCTGGAAGTCGCCACACGATTCCTAGTTATCTGAGTGTTTGTAGACCATGTATAGCGGTGATGACCAGGCACCAGAACAGGGACAGACATATTCGAGCTCAAGCATGTGCTCGAATTTTTGCTGTGCCATCTTGTAGCGGTCTGGAGCAAGACGATGAGCACGTGCAAACATCGGTGCTCGTACTGTCGCAACGTGATGAGTGACATTGTAGCGTGCCGGGTCTTCAAGGGATGGCGTACAAAAGAGATAAAAAGATTTTTCCACAAGTGTAGACCACGGCAGGGAGACTATGGCAAGAGGTTGCACGAGATGCATGGGTGGTAAACTTACGTCACGCCTTGCACTGTTAAGGAGAGACACTGGCCTTAAATTTTTTTTTATTTTAAGTATTTAGAGCTGAAAATTTTATGTGATATGCATCTCTCACAGCAGAAAACAAATATGCAATTAGTTTTCAGCTGTCACTTCCAGATTTTACAACACTGACTAGTCCATGAACTTACATTCTGGCCACTGTTTGGACAGCTTTCTTATGAAAGATTGCTGCAAATTAGATATGGCAGTGTTCTGTAAAGAACAGGGAGTGCAAGGAAACCGTAATTTTATTTTTAGCTTCATTGGTTCAAGAGTTATGGCCTTAACAAGTAGACTCATCAGAAATCTGAAACTGTTGCTTAATTATATCAATAATTAAATCAATGTTCTTAATAAAATAATCATAATATTTTGGTTTTGTTGCACTCATCAATGTATAAGCTTTCAAATGCAGCAAAAATGATCAAAATCCAACCACCAGATCAAAAGATACTGTGGGCAATGGCCTCGGACTTGATGGAAAATGTTTTGAGAAAACGAGAAGAGAAGTTTAGGGACACGGTTAGCATGTATATTCAATGGGTAATAGCGTAAATCAATGCAGTAATGATGCTAGAAACCACTAAGAGTGTAGTCGTCATCATTCTCCGTGTGCTTTCTTTTCATTGCACGCCAGATGTTTCCAGGATTTCCATAGTTCAGATTGGCATACAGCATTCTGACAGTGCTCGCGCAGTCAACAGTAACGTGCGCGGCAGCCTTCTACGAGGCAGGAATCATTCCCACTTTCACGTAATCTTTACATGTCTTTGCATCTCCGTGAATCATTCAAGGTAAAAAAAAAAATGCAATTCAACACAGTTTGTCTGTTAGCTGTGCCGCGGGAACCGTGAGCACGAACTCGAATGGGCCGTGCACTGCATGCCGCATCCCCCCCCCCCCCCCCCTTGCTCTCTGGCGAGCTCCGTACAAATTTCAGTTCCCCACACGCATTCCATGTCAGCACAGGTTTTGTAGCGATGCCATATTCCCGATCTTTCTCAGAAATGCTGCCAGGCACGCCACAAGCACTGCACTTCATACACTAAAGCAGGTTACGACGGTGAACGACGTTCCAGTAGTCGCAGTAACTTCAGAGTCTCGAAAAATAGACCGCTCGCGTTGTGAGGCTGACGTCGACGTAAGTTCTCTTTGAATGTCACTCGCACAACATGCAAGGGCCACTTTTTCAGCGTCAGAAACCAGGGGAGTGCCGACGCACAGATCTCGCGTGTGATTGTCCGCGATTACAAGAGCTGCGTTCGTGATAGCGTTGGCACAGCCAGCTTTTTTCAGTGTTCTCGGTGGCAGAGGGTTTCGCTGATAAGATGCTGCATGCTCTCAGATGCCGTTTTTGCTTCTTTTCGAATGCATGAGCAGCATGGAACTTTCGATGACCGCCTGCCATCGCATGGATCGCACAGCCACCGCTTAGGTCTCGTCACAAAATGGTGGATTGTGCACCTCTGTCTAGCAGACTAATCCCTTCACATCTAATGGGGAACCGGGAACTGCCCCACTTGATAGAAACGCACCAATGATGTGCAAGTATTTGGTTTTTTTTTTTATTCGTGATAGCTGCGTTATTGCTAGGCGAAAAGCGATCTTCCACTAGGAACAGACAAAAGAGGAATACGGCTTTCAAATGAGACCAAAATGGCCGCGCTACTTGGCATGGTTCTCAGTGGGCGCGGCGTCGAATATAACCGTTTTTGAGGAGGTTTCACGAGAGAAAATGGTCACGAAACTGACTTTGAGATCGAATTACTCGATGAATGCGCATTACATGGCAATAGCATTTTAGGAACACCTTCTTCAGACCCTATATATTATTTAAAATATACTTCGAAAAATCTTTTTTCGCCTTCAAGACCCTTGTCTCCCTTTAAGAATCCATGAGACTGCTATGTCATAGGTTTACCACAAGTTTAAAATGCCAAAAAAGTTTGCGCCTATGATTGGTATACGCACATAGCCGATTAAAACAATCCATTGAAATATGCATCTAAAGCCGGTGTCAAGCGAAACAGACCTCTGTCCGTAGGTCCGTATAGTTGAACCATTAACAGCGGTGACAGGCAGTGTGGTCTGGTATCAGCAGCGGTCCTCCAGTCTAGAAGGAACAACACACACTTGAGCACCTGTGTTGATGATGTACCGGACTTCGGTAATGCAGTCCGTGATTTGGAATAGGCAGTGGGATGTTGAGCCTGAAACACTGGCCGCCATCAGGGCGTGGCTCATGTGTTTCCCGCAAACTGGCATGGCTGACAGTACTGGTGAGTGTGTGCTCTGTATCAGCGTCATGGACCGGCATCAAGAGGGAAAAGTCATGTCGATTGATTGCAGATATGAACGGGGCACCGACATCCATAATTTTGTTGGCCATCTGTGCCAGCGAGATGAAGGTTTCTGTGATCGACACTCTCAAAATCATCTGAACCTGCTCTGGCTGTATCTGTAGGAAGAGTTCGCATAAAACAAATGCATCTAATGCAGCTGGGTGGTCTTCGATTAGATGTTGCATGCAACGCAGAAGCTCCGTAGGCTTTCAGTCGCCAAGTTCCTTCATGGAGAGCAGCTGCTGCAGCCTACACTGTATCCACTTGATTGTTTGGCGTATGAGCTTTGCTTTAAGAGTGTTGTGGGGGTTGTCAGGAGGCCGAGAGCACAGAATGTCTTTTACTATCGCTATGACAGTCGTAGTAAAGTGCCCATGAGATAGTCGTACCACACTGTTTGCGATGTTACCTGGTGTCGTCAGAAGAGTGGCTTGACACTCAGAAACCAGAGCTCAGAGTCCGACTGCAAAAACTCTGGTAGCTTGACGGTAGTGACAACGAGGTGGGGTACCATGGGATTCAGTGTCACGTTGCTATAGGGCGTGATGTCCATGGTCAGCCAGAATGCATTGGACTGAAGGTCTTTACCGGGGTGTTATGAACGGCCTGTCTGGCTTTGGCGCCGCTTGGACGCATGAGATGTTGCACTGAGCCTACCGTGATTACTTCCGGGTCAGCGCTCCCAGAGATGCACCAAGAGCGGCGACAACATGAAAGTCGTTCTTCTAATTATCCCGGGCTGTCGGCGCCCCTCGTAAAACCCTTTGGACACGCCGGACTGACTCACGGATCATGAAGAGCTGTTGGGAGTCGAGGCAGCTTGCTTTGTTGCCAAGGTGCTCCGGGCAAAGGGCCCAGCGTCTGAGAACCATCTGTGGATTCATTTCCCACATTCTCTGTGGTGCCTAAATGCCACCATTTCCAAAAGTCGTGGACTGTCCTGCACCGCATACCCATCTCTTCAACGAACTACACAGTTCATTTCTACGTAGAACCTAACGCCTTCGTGCTGGGCCGTGTCGTGCACGGTGTGCAGTGTTTTCACCCTCGCCATCGGACGAACTGGGCGTACCTCTTCCCTCTTTCCTGGGTCAGGAAGGGGGCGGTGTTTCACCTTGCCCTTTTGGGGGCGAAGGTGAAGATGGCATTTTCATTGAACTGCCCTGGCCTCCATTGCTTTTCCCTGCAGGGAACCCTGGGAAGACCAAGACATAAAACGCGAGTGCCGAGACGCTCCCCGCTCCTGAAAAGCTCCCATCAGCTTCCACCAAGAGCATCCATGATGCTGCTCCCATCATGTAGAAACACGCTACCTGTAAATAATGTAAATAAACGCTCCTGTTAACCGCATAGTCTCCTCTCCGAGACTCTGGCTGGCTCTGGTTTTCTGGGCAGAACCCCGACCACATCAGGGGTCACCGAAGAAACAGGGTTGGCGAACACTCGGTGCATTGGCGAAGGGACAAGCAGATTGTACACTGCCGTTCGATGTCTTGGCCACCACTTGTGGGAAGACGCAAGACGTGAGCATTCCCAGATATTTTCTCGATGCTTGCTCGGCGATGGAACACCACAGACGCTGTCGTTCTGGTTGGCGTCTTCTCCTCTTGCACTTGGCTTGAACGTGTGGAGCAGCTGAGGCACAACTTTTTTGTTTTCTCTGAGACGCTGCCAGCTCACCATAAACTCATGCAAAATGCACTGGTCAGCAGCCAGGAATACAGAGTTCATGTACGAAGCAGATAAAATGATGAACGTAATAGGACCTGCTTTATTGCCGAGTGGCTCTGCACAAAACATTATCTGTATTATAAATAAATACAACTTTAAAAAGTTATGTTTACAATTTATATGTATTGTCGCAAATGAGTTCTGCGGAGTACCTCACAAAATGGTGGAAGGGTTAAGAAAAGGAAAATAAACAACCACTCATTTGTAGTACAAACACACAAGAAAATCCGTGCAGATTTCTGAGAAACAGCGCTTATTAGCTGCCGAAAAATTCGTCCTGGTCTGGTGTTTGAATCTAGGACCAACGTCCTTCCGGAGTTGTCAATCAACTGAGCAAACCACGAAGCTAGCAACTGGCAACGCGAGGGCAAATTTATCGACAATTCTAAGCACATAAACACAAGTAATACAAATGACTTCTGCAATCGCACAAGGTGGCAGAAGGGTAAAGAAAGGGACAGTAGACAACCAGCCGCTTTTAACACAACGCCACAAGGAAATCCATAAAGATTTCTCAGAAAGCAAAGCTTCTTAGTAGCTGAAAAATCCATCCTGGTCTGGGGTTTGAACCCAGAACCAATGCTTTTTCGGGGCGCTTACTCTACCAACTGATCTAACTACCAAGCTAGCAATGAGTTAGTGTTAGGGCAAATTAGTAATGATATTAATGATGAAGGTGGTGATTATGGTAAGTAGTGATGATACCAATGCATTGAAAAAGAACTTCCAGCTGGCAATTCAATAAAGAAGGGTGATGGACCAAGTATAACTGGTGCTCTCAGCATCCACGTATGTGGTCACTTGTTTTCTTCTAGAACTAAAGGTAAATTTTCCAAGCTTTTGGTTTATTCCCACTTTTGCATGTATTGTTATTACATATCTAAAAAAATATCTTTACTTGCACAATTGGATTGACTGTGGAAAACATATGACTAACAGCCACCTTGAGGTCTTTAAAAGCGATTTTAACCTACTTTGAATTTACTGACAACATTGATTTTCTTTTGTCATAGAAATTGAGAAACACAATTTTTGAAAGCAAGTAGAAACAAAACATACAAAAATTCTGGAGAAAAAAGCATGTTTTTCAAATAGCACTTCCCATTAAAGAAGACCTGCATAGAAGTCTCATATCTTTCATGCCTCTGTCAGAGCCAAACTTTTTTTGAGCATTTGGGTGGTCTTGTAATCGACGCCCCCGGACCTATCAACCCACTTCCTCACCACGTACAGCGCAGCGACAGTATTTGCGAAGACAGGTGGTGTGCTGCCCCCCTCAGTGTATATAATAAAATCGTGGACCTGTCCCAAGCGCAAGCTTGAGCCATAGCACACCAAGTAAAGCAGTAAAGCTTCCATTTGAGCTAGTTGGCACATTCTTGAACACATATTTGGGTTGCGCGAAAAAACACGGATGGAAGAGAGTACACTCTTCTTTGTCCATATTTTTTCACGCAATCCCAATATATATTGAAGTAAAACAGCTAAAGTGAATCTTAAAGGCTATGCGTTTGTGAGCTGCATGCAGTAGGTTTTTGGCCAAGGTGTCAGGTGTGGGTTTCTGTACATTTTTCATGTTATAAAAGCTATATATACAATTATTGCAATACTACTGCACATTCACAACATATCGTGCAGGTACATCGTAGGAATAACGTGCAAAACGGGGATTCTAATACATAAGTGACTAGATTCTTTGCAGAGACCACAAGTCAGAAATGTGAGTAATAATACCAAAGATTTTACATTTAATACCAAAACCACAATATGATTATGAGAGATGCTATAGTGAAGGGCTTCAGAATATTCTTTAGCGTGCGCTTTAATACAGGCATCTATCATTCAGCCTGCACCGAAATGTGATCGCCAGAGCCAGTATTAAACCCGCAAAGCCAGAAATGTTTTGCACAAGAAACCTACAACTGAGAAAGGTATAAGCAGGGTTCTATTGTACATTGCGATTTTTGTGACTAGCTTAAACTGAAAGGCTAAAAATAATAGCATACCGCATCCATCCAAGTCAGCTGACAGGCAATGTGTTCTTCGTCCAAGTCCTGTAACCAAAGGGGTCCTCCAACAACCTGAGCCCTGGCTTGAGCTCCTGGCCAACTGCTCCCAAATACCACATTCCAAGGTGGTGGCTTGAAGAATGGCCCATCTAGCCCATACAATGAAAATGGCACGTACCCAGCTATTAGAGCATTGCCTCTTGTTGCAGTAGGCATTCCTGAACAGCAATTTCATTTCTACAACAGTAAAATGCAATGGGAGGCCGAAGAGCAGTTGTATGTAGTGTTTCCTTTCCAATTTTTAAAAGAGTGATTTATGTCTATAGACAATAGACACTCAAAGCAGTAGTGCTAAGTGTACCAAAAATATTGCAAGAACTAAAATTTAAAAAATATAAGATCTGACACCCCTATATCTTATGGGAGTACAATAAAAGATTCCATGCAAGTTTCCATGTAAGCAAAATCACAATATTTTTACCACAACTTTTGCACTCAGCTTATGAAGTTATGAGAAATTAACCTAAAAAACAGCCACACTTACATAGTCATAAAGTATGCTATAAAATGGCCATAAATTGTTTTAAGCTGGAACAATTCCCACAGCAAAGCCCCCACTGGTCTTGTACCCTGATCATTTTATCTCCGCTTTATTTTCTGGACTAAGAAGTTGCCACACACTGCCGTCTTATGAGACAGTCCCGAGGCAGAGTAAAACTAAGCTAATTTAGGTGTGGATCTTTTCAGATGCATTCAGTTATAAATTTGATAACAATTAACCTATGTGTTTTGAATGACACACAAACGTGGAAAACCACTCCAGAAGGCAAGATGCTCGAAGGACCACCAACTGCCCAGATTATGAAGCGAGATGAATTTACTGATGAAAAAATTGTCCATCACATTGACTCAAACTATCCACCTCCTTTTTTTTTTCATGAGAGGTAGATTTATAGTTTTATTCCTTCACTGAAAGTCTCGAATAATGACCTGTGGCACCTCTGGTGGCAAAAACATGAATGATTTGATGTACCTCGCTATGTGACCACTGACTGCTGTGCGCAGTCAATAATTTTTCCCTGTTAATATTAAAACACTGTCTGTTTCTTTACATTAAAAGATTTTAGTCCATAAGTTATATTAAAAGATATTACTCCATAAAAGTGTACATGTACATCTAGACCTGGGTTAGCAATATGCATTAAAGTGGAGCTGCCTTCACGTGATGTAATAATCCTAAGCTTGCAAGCGCGTATTGAGCAACTTTTCAGCATTCTCATACAACCGTGCATATAGTTCCTAAGCTGATAAAATTTAGGAGTGACAGTTTTTCTACCTAAACTTCATCTCAGGAATGATGTGCACTGCTACACTGCGTGGCCATGCATATGCATTACGATGTTTTAAATAACTTGGCTAGGCTCATGTATGCAGGGAGTAAGGAAACCAAGACAAGTCACGTATTACACAGGCGCAGCCAACCTCGGGTTCTGAACAAATACAGGGAAAGTGCATAATGCCTCATCACCTGATTATAACGGGTTGTTATTTTCATAAATAGTTAAAAAGCTCAAAATAAAGGTGCTTGAAGATAGTTACAGGAACTCATGCGAAAGCAGAACGATGGCAATTTTCACGAATCACTAGAAGGGCTGCTAGCATCACGATCAATTCTCAGTGTTGCTTGAGGAAACGTACATATGTGTTCAGAGCCTTTCAGATCGAAAAATACTGCTTGCAAAATAACAACGTGCTTTTGGCATTAAAGGGACACTAAGGTCAAATAACAATGTATGTCAGAGTAAAAGCTCAATGTATGACAATATCTAAAATGCCACTATTAACAACAATGCCCTACTTACCGAGAAATTAAGGTAAATGCACAAGAACACATGCGATGCAGTAGGACATTCTCAAAATTATCCCGATGACATCAGATGAACCACCTACAATTAATCACTAGTAATCAATCTAGCTGCACTAAATAAAGAACCTTCCGTGCATCAAGAGATGATATAAAATGATGCTTGATAGTTTGTTTGATTAATAGAAAAAAGAACCGCCGGACGTTACTAACGAGGAATGGCACGAGTGGTTAAAATATCAATTTTCGCATGGTCAAACTGGACATGTGGTGCCATTTAGCAGGGCTTAGTTGAACCAAAATACGCCTGCAATCTCGAAGCCAATGGCGGGATGGCCGTTGTTGCTGCTGTGGCTCTCGCTGCTTTCGGTCTGCTGCTACTAGCGCAGTAAAGCCGGGCAACGTTGTGCACGGCAACGTTGTGCACGGCAACAGTGTTGCGAGTCGGTCCGGTCGGTCTGCTTTAGTGAGGCGCTAAATTTCAAGTGCGCTAACCCAATGCAGACCACTAAAACGTGATTTTATTTCAAAATAGGCCCTTCCTTGGGACAAAAGTAACACTACGAGGTTTCTGGACAGCTATTTCAACAATCAACATGACTTAACAGTTGCCTTTAGTGTCCTTTTAACTACTGCAGCTCCAAAAACTAAAAACGGTGCGATTTTTGTAGTTCCGTAAAAAAAAATGGATTGAGAAAAATTAGCTATCAGTCCCTTTAAAAGGTATGCTCAGGGTAAATATTACGTAGGCATGGATGAATGAAATTGTGTTTCAGAAACGTAACAGTGCTTGCTTTGTGCCAAGAAAATGCTTAGTTTAAAAGAAAATATTATCACGAATTCAATACAGTCAGCAGAGTTCAAATTGCCTGCCTCTGAACATTGTCTTTTAACATGGCATTTGCCATGGCCACACAGCTCGACAGCTGGTGCTGTGCTGCAGTAGAGCCAAGGGCTTCAGTTGAGCACAACTTTGTAAAACCAACGCAAGTGATTCTCAAAGGTAACATCAAGTTTTTTGCATGAATCAGATTGAAATGTAAAAGTTTCATTTCATTCCATCTTGTAATACAATGAAATGTTATTTTTCTCATTGGTAGTTTCAGCACTCGTGTGCAATTAAACGTGGCCCTACTAAGTCATCAGGTTGGTGTTCCCAGATTTTCCCATTGGGGGTGCAAATGGTGTCCTACATTTACCTACATTACAAATGATGTCCTACATTACTCAGACAATGCCGTATATAATATTGACTTTTTACTGTTCTCAAGCATTGAACTTCCACCATAAGAAAAAAAAATTTTATTTGGCTTTAATGTCCCTGTTATAGAAAATGGATAGCACAGCCACACAAATTCACAATCAACTCCCGTTATTCAGAGTTGAACCACTCAGCAGGTCAAATTAAAGAAGCAGCAAAATAAGTGCCTTGAAGCACAGATAAACAGTGACATACCACGGCCGCTGGATGAAACAGCGCACGGGTACGCCTGCCGCGTGCTCCAAAACGGGCATGACTGGTCTAGTTCCCGAACCACCGCTGCGGCGCCACCGGGAGGGGACAGTTTTCGCGAGCGCACACGGAATCGGATGCGCGGCGCGCTTGCGGTAGTTACGATTGAGCGCATGCATCTTTGTGTGACCCGTGAAACCTTAATATCCGTCTGGCGTGTGCCCACCAGGTAATTACCGACCTTGTTTTTAGACACCTGACGCCCTTGCAAATTTTTGGTATTGTCTTGCCCGAGATGGAACCTTGCACATCGATCAGCTTTCGCGGAACTAAGAATTGTGAGCACATTTTACTCGGATCCTACATGATCGCAGCTAACAGATCTGGGACAGCTACACCTTTATAATGCATCTAAATTGATTATAGTAACTGTGAGTATGTCGCTTCACGAAACGTTGCCTCAGACTTAATCATTTCACTTAGAATAAATAACCTCAGCAATTGTAGTTACCACTGTTCCTTTAACACAAAATAAGAAAGACATTTTACTTCCTCCAAACACGTCTATAGTATTTGTAGTACAATACAGTATCAGATACAACAGCCACGAGATGTACTTAGCATGTGTGCGATCTTATAACAGTGGACTCGAGCCTCTTTGAAATCTCAGTGATTGTAAATTCAATGCTGGCAATTGAGCGAGCAGTTATGAAGTGAATAATATGACAACTGTGAGAAGAAAATAGCGATGAAATGCTGCAAAATGTGAACACAACTGCTTGCGTTCCTGCACTTTTGAATTTTTCCTCTCCGTCCCGATGTTCTTATGATAATGCGACTAATGCAACAGTGAATGCATAATAGGAACAAGATGCATGAAAATATTTTATTTATTCTCAATTTAAGGCTGATCCTGGCATTTATTAAATTTTATTTACTTCTTTACACCTTTACATAATAAAACCACTTGACAATTGCTCCAGCTTGTGCACCCAACTTTTGGCTTCTGGGTCTATCAATAATAAAACCATCCGTTCAGTCTTTTCATGGTAGCCTCTCCACGGGCACTGACGAATCCCGATAGCACTCCAACGTGCTTGTCTTCAAGCAGTCTCCGTCATGCGGTTCTGCCATCCACTACTGTTTATTTGTTCTGATATGTATCGTAGACAAATTAGCACCTGTGCTCGCTCAAACGAAGGCATGTGTACTTGACTGCCCTACAGGAGCCGTGATTTTGAGATGTGTAAACATAATAAAAACGTGGTTGCCACTTAACCCAGCCATGTTTGCATGTGTGTGTGTGTGTGTGTGTGTGTGTGTGTGTGTGTGTGTGTGTGTGTGTGTGTGTGTGTGTGTGTGTGTGTGTGTGTGTGTGTGTGTGTGTGTGTTGTGTGTGTGTGTGTATATATATATATATATATATAATGTAACAGACTAGAAAAAGGTAGAGAAGAGAAGCAGAGGAAGACGAAGAGTCTTGGCACGATCGCAGTGTGCTGCGGCAAACGACTATCGTTCACCTCCTGTAAATAAAACCATCTTATCACAGCTTGCTGTTACAGTTGTGGTGGAGGTGCTGGGTAATCGACACCCGAAGACGGAAGGTGAACCGCAAGTTCTTCGACGGAGCCGTCGCATTGCTGGACTTCCACCGAATCCATCTGGTCTGGACATGTCCCACAACGAAAATGAACATCGACCCCTCTTGACTTCTGCGCCGACCAGTTCGGCTCCACAACTGAGAGATGCTCGTCCCTTTGCCGGCAGACCAGATGAAGACGACGAAGCTTGGCTCATCCATTACAAACGGGTGAGCGCCGCTAACAGAT